CAGCCAAGTCTTGCTGCTCATGACCGTCCCGTGCACTGTGATTTGGGGGCACTGTGCCTGAATTATCACGTTAAGGCTGGAGAAGATTCTTAAGCAGCATGAGACTGGACTATGGTTCTCAGCTGGTTCAGAGCCTCCTTTGTACAAGGGCTGTTCAGCCAAGAGTGTGGGGACCTAATGCCTTTGGAATTCAATAGCTGTGACCAGGACACTCCTCAACAAAGTTCCACAGCCAGACAGATACCCTTGGATCTGAAAATTGGTTGCTGGGTCAAGAGCTGTGGTGATAATATTGAGAGACCCTGGAAATTTGAAAGGCGTGTCCTGAGGCCCTGATCCCCACCTGGGCCTGCCCTAGGTGGCTGCTGCCCTCTGTCAAGCCTGGCAGACACCTGCGGGACCCTGGGTGTGGTGAGGAGACACCATGAGACTCCAGCAGAGGCTAGGTTTGTCTTGACTCTGGTTCCTCTTTTACAGGTGAGGAGACTGGTCTGGATGACCTCTAAAATTTCTTCCACTGCTAACCGTTTAGGACTAAAAAAATTTGAGTGTGTTGGAATTGACCCACCTCCAGGTGGTAGCCTTCTGAGGTTGGGGAGATGGGTAGTGTCAGCAGAAACAAATTTTCAATGCCTTGGTGTCCCGATTCCAATTCCCCATCCTCCTGCAGCAGCACGACTTGCCTGTCATCCTGTGGTGGTCAGCAGCAGCCATGGAGAATTGTACATCGATGGCCTGCAGTGACGCCCATGTATCCTTCTAAGTGGCAAAGTTGCATGTGTTTGTGCTCAGCTGAGCAAGAGAAGCAGGCCTCTAAACGGTCCGGTGTAATGCTGTTCACAGGAGAACCGTATCTGTGTCTATATACGTAGAAAAATACCGGAAGGAATTAATCCAAAATGTTAACAGTGCTTCTCTCTACGTGGTAAAATAATAGGTCACTTAATTTTTTTAAAAATTTAAAATTAAAATAACCTAGATGGGAAAAGAACTTGAAAAACAATAGATACCTGTATATGTATAACTGAATCACTTTGCTGTACACCTGAAACGAACACAATACTGCTAATCAACTATACTCCAATGTAAAATAAGAATTAAAAAAAATTTTTTAATTAAAAAAAATCCCCCAATTTTTTATCTTAAGTATGTACTATTGCAATTTTGGAGTTGGGGGATGAATGGAAGGTGTTCATGGGGGAGTTTGGGAGCCCCTGCCGCCCTGGGATCCCGGACACAGTCTCTCTCCCACCTTAGCTGGCATAAGGATCATGCAGGGAACTTGTTAAAACTGCAGGTTCCTGGGTCCCTCTTCCAGAGATTATGACTCTGTGGGTCTGGGTTGGGGTCTGGAATCTGCCACTTACACAAACATCCCAGAGACCACCCTTTGAGGAACATTGGTCTGGGGACTCTTGCTTTATTTGGAGCTGGGTTAACAGAAGTGTCGGGAGAGATCTAGCTAGAAGCAGGCAGGTGAGCTGAACGTCAGCAGATCAAGCTGAGACTCCAATAAAATTATGTCTCCAGATGGAGGTGGCTCTGGGACAGAGGTCAGGACAGGCCTGCCAAGCTCTCAGAGGAGCAGGCTGTGCCAGCAGCATCTTGCTGTCAAATTCTCTGCCCCATCAGACCTCCTCTGAGGCTGGGAGGGCAGGCTGCATCCTGTGGGGCAAGAGGTTCTCTTTCAATCCTGGCCAAAACGAAAAGTTCTGGTTCTGCTACTTTCCAGTTGTGTGATTGTAGGTGCGTTACAGTTCTCAGCTGAGTTTTGTGTAATGTAAATGATACTACCAACCTCATAGGCATTTCATGGGAGAAGGAAGTGGTCCATAGCAGGAGGTCATGAATGTTGGTTGTCTATCCTTTCTTATTCTTTGGCTGCTTGGGAGAAGGGAGCATGAGAGACCTCTTAGCCAAGGGGAAGGACACAGCCCTGCCTACAGCGCTGCAGTCAGATTGTCTGCCTAGGTCATTTTCACAACAGCTCCTTCTCTGCAGGGCACAATATTCCTGGAGGATTTTTACTGGCAGGATGACTAAGTAGCTGGCCCAGGCTGACCCAGCAACTCCCTTCTGGCCCCATCCTAGCCAGTCTGTCTCTGAGAGTCCTCAGAGCTCCTAGGTAGTCTGAACACTGTCCCCACCATTGTCTGTGTGGCTAGGGGACCCCTTGGATGGTCTCCCTCAGACCATCTCCATTAGGACTTTGCTTTAAACTCCATGTCCTCTAAGCAGCCAGCTGGCTCTCTTCTCCTAGACAGTCCTTTATTTTAATCTGAAACTTCCAGCAAGCCAGTTCAGCTCTGCTCCTCTTTGGTATTTTTTAAAAATTTGCCTTTATTTATTTAACCCTGCTTACAACACAACAGACCAGAGCTGCAATATAGTGAATCTTATCCAACGACAAGCATTTAGCAAGACACTTTCCAAATAGAAAGTTATGTTCTTTGATTCCTGCCCCTATTTCAGTCATTCAGCAGATATTTCTTGAGGACACACTGTAGCAACAAGAATTATCATGTATTGGGTGCTCTTTATGTGCCCAGGGTGGATAGTCTTTGACTTCCTGGGGATACAGACAGGCAGGTGGTTATTTACAGCATGGTGAGTGGTGCGAGAGGGAAGGAACGGGCTGCCTTGGAGCAAGTAAAGATGGACACTCTTTCCCACCTTCCACCCGCACTCCTCCTGAGCCTAGCTATTGTGTAATACAGCTAATTGCATAATGATCTCTTTTCCAAGTGAAATCTGCTTCTCCTGCAACGCCTAGTTTAGCCATCCTCTTCCATGCCTACCTAAAGCACAGAAGACCCGTGAGGCCCCCGTCCAGAGCTGTGGCTTTGAAACCCCCAGCCCACGCAGGGCCTGGGATTGGCCTGGCTGCATGGCGGTATCTGCATAGGTGTAGACTGCCATCTTCCTTTTCAACTTAAGCAGAAAAACAGAAGTGCCAGGGAATCATGCAGACAGTCCTGTGGTTCCTTTTCCCCCTGTAAGGCAGCAGGCAGCCATTTATCGGAGAGAAACAGGTTTGCCCAGTGGAACGTTTATTTGGTTTCTTTGATCCTGGGAACACACCTGCCACTTTGCCACTTCCTGCGAATCAAGCAGTTTCTTAGAAAAGGGACACATTCCTTAAAATATATTATGCGGTTTGGGGGTGAGATATGGTTTCTTGGATTTTTATGATTTAATGTGTCTGCAAAAACATTAAAGCCACAGATGAAAATACATTGACTGCCCCTTATGAGAAACTGGTCTTTCCTTAGACTTAGGGGGCTGGTCATTTTCATTTTTATGCTGGGTTTTGTTGTTTTTAAGTTTTCATTTGCTCCTCTTCCTGTTTCTCAGCACTCCTCATGCTGTAGACACACCATGTGTGGGCAGTCATTGATACAGTACACTGCAGTTATCAACCAAAATAATTTGGACTGAACTTTTATAAGAAAAAGGCAAATAGTGAAATTAATTTTCTTAGATCTTATTTGTTAACGTGCCACTTTCAGAGCATGCCTTGGGGATGCTCTGAAAGTGGTATATTAAAAAAATAAGATATAAGTTATAAAAAAGATATAATATACATTATAAAAAATAAGATGTAATATAAATTATAAAAATATATAATATAAATATATGAAAAAATGTTTAAAATATATATTACATCTACTAGTATACAGATCTTTCTTGACTCACAATGGGCTTTCATCCTGATAAACCCATCATTGTAAGCTGAAAATATATTTAATACACCTAACCTACTGAACATCATAGCTTAGCCTAGCCCACCTGAAATGTGCTCAGAACCCTCACATCAGTCTACAGTTGGGCAAAATCATCTAATATGTAGTCTACTTTATACTAAAGTGTTGAATATCTCATGTAATTGATTGAATACTGTACCGAAAGTGAAAAATAGAATGGTTGTCTGGGTACAGAATGGTTGTCAGTGTATCGCTTTTTTACCCTTGTGATCACATGGCTGAGTGGGAGCTGTGGCTGCTGCCACTACCCAGCATCAGGAGAGGAAAGGACAGCATATCGCTAGCTCCGGGAAAAGATCAAAATTCAAAATTTGACGTATGGTTCCTACTGGATGCATGTTGCTTTTGCACCATTGTAAAGTCAAAAAATCATAAGTCGAACCATTGTAAGTCAGGGACCATGTGTATATATTTAATTTTATTATTATTTTTTTGTGTGAGAATCATTTTCGCTTTAATTTGCTTCCTGATCATCATATAGCAATAAATAGACATAGAACATTTTCTAATTATTTTCTGGGTTGGGTAGGGGTGAAAGGGAAGATCTGGAAAATCAGGAGTATATTAACTCAAATTTCGGCACATAATAATTCAAATAAAATTTTAATGATTTCAGTTCAATACAACTGAAAATGCAGTGTGTTAAAGGACATTTTCTACTAAATTTCAAATTACAGGTTGTGGGTCATTTCTAAGCAAGAGTATCATATCCTACTGAGTATTCAACTTATTAATTAAGGTGATTGACATGGTAGGAGGTGGGGAAGAACAATGGTCAGCTCATAGAATTTGGCTAAGAAAAGAAACAAACAAAAACAATGCAAATAGTAATTAAAATAGCTACAAGGCTTCCCTGGTGGCGCACTGGTTGAGAGTCCGTCTGCCAATGCAGGGGACACGGGTTCGTGCCCCGGTCCGGGAAGATCCCACATGCCGCGGAGCGGCTGGGCCCGTGAGCCGTGGCCGCTGAGCTTGCACGTCCGGAGCCTGTGCGCCGCAACGGGAGAGGCCACAGCAATGAGGGGCCCGCGTACCAAAAAAAAAAAAAAAAAAAAAGCTACAGATATTAGTAAAATAAAAATCCAATCCCAAATATCCATCTCTTACATTACTAGAAAAAAATTACAGGTAAAGTTACAGCAAATACAGTCTTCACAGATTTGGGTAACTTTATTTGCATTTAATAGTGATTTTAATAGTGATTTTTAAGCCCTATAGCCAATGAAATTTTAAAAAGCACTATGAGGAATGGACATTTAGATGTGTATACACTTTTCTTTAAAAAAAAAACAACAAAGCTTAAATTTCTGAATGAGCAAGATTCACTTTTGCAGGTAGAGGCCCTGCTTCTTCATGATCTTCACCTTTAGATCTAACAACCACAAGAGAAGAAGCTGGATATCTGTTTAGCTTTCGTTCACTCACAAATTCCAAGTCACCATAGATACTCAGCTTCACAGAGGGAACATACTGCTCCACAGCAGTAGCAACAGTTGCACAACAAATCCAGAGCAATACCGTCATGGAGAGGACAAGAGTCATAGTTAAAATCCACCCGGAGTTAGGAGAGACATCTTAAAAAGCCATCACTTTCTTCATCTTCAAGATAGTTCCTGTGTGCTTGTGAACTTCTCATTTGCAGATAGGACATTTTGCTTAGCGACGGTTCTTTCAAATGTGTAGGTTCCTGCTCCAACTGTGGTGCATACTGCATTTCTGGCTTAGACTGGAATATAACTATTTTTCCGTCAGCAGCTTGAAGATAAAAAGTCCACGAAGAGGTTAAGAAGCTCTGTGAACGGTCCATCATATCACTCCAGAATGACCTTACCAGAGTTAGAGGGAACACTAGATGCATTTTTGGCATCAGGGACGTGAGTTGTTCTTGTCTCAATTCAGCAAATGGCGGCTGATTCTGGCACCCAGGGTGGCAAACATATTGCTCATCAGATCGGGAATATGCTTCTGTACACGCAGATTCACATTCCAATTTGGTCCGATTTAAATCAATTCCATCATCTACAAATTGACAAATTGAAAACAGCCTGCAACCTCTCTGACATGTGTACAACTCCTCTTCCTTGGAGTAGGTGTGCGAGGGGTAGGTCAAATGGCAGGCCCGGTGACAAGACGCCGTATCACCCAAGACCGAGTCAAACGCTTCAGCCGAAGTGGTCCCTGAGCCTCCAGTCAGGGCCATGGTCAGCAGCAGCAGCAGCGGCGACAGCCCCAGTTGGGCCCTGACCCAGAGGCTCCCGTTCGGGGCCGCCATTTTGTTTGTCTCTGTCACAGCAGGTCAGCTTGTTGCTCTATATATTTTATTTATATATATATATATATATACACACATATACACACACACATACACATATATATACTGGGCTGTGTCTAATTCTTGTGCCTATATCTGAACTACTCTACAATCAGACCTAATTGTTATGGCAAATAGCTAAGAGATAGCCCTGAACGTATCTATTAATAAAGTACAAGTAGATTTATATTTGGTGTACTACACTTACTAAGACAGGAAAGAGGACCATGAACATTGTGGAACATTTTTCAAATGAGTATTTAGAACTGATTGCACATATATTTACCAGGAAATGTGAGTAATCAGCATACCCTGTTTCCAGAACTTTCTATACTAAGGTTTCCTTACAGGAAGAGACAGTCGAGCATTAGATAATAATGTGAAATTGGAGAGTCAGATTGGCCCCGGTTCATATCGTGACCACAGTCATGACACCTTGACCCAGATACTTGGCCCCTCTCATCGAATTCCTCGTCTTTAAAATGGGTGTTGTGCTGGTATCTGCCTCTCACGGTTCCTGTGAAGATTAAGAGTGCAGGAAGAGTCCTCAGCACAGTCCCTGACCCATATGAGATGTGCCACCAATGCTTGCTCTCGTGATCATGGCTGCCGCCATCTTCTCCGTCATCATCATTGTCATCGCCATCTTCATGATTGCCCTCTACCTGTCAGGGCCTTTGCTGCAGCCAGCTCCTTTCTCCAAAGGGACTTGGGTTTGAGGGACTTGCACTGTGTGATGTTGTGATTCAGTGTTTCTAGGAAGTTAGGCTAGGATTAACAAGCAAGTTTCTGAGTCTTATATAGAACGTCTAGAAATAGTTAATTGACCTTTTATGTCTTAGATTGCTTATCAGTAAACTTAGATAAATGCTGCCGTGTTAGCACTTGAGAGTGTGACATCTTCTGCTGTCACAAGCTTCCAAGGCCTAATGGTATTGATACCTGATCCGAGATTAGGGAGATTTTGGCTCCTCGGCTTTCCTGTTCACTTTCGGATCTGAAAGCAGCACCTTGAGAACAAGGAGGCCACGCAGAGGTCAGACTCCTGTCATGCTTCCCTTTTCAGATGACTGCCTCATGCCTGGAGACCTTGAAAACTGATCTTGAAATCCAGGGCTGGGTCTGTTCAGTGGTTTTTTTAAAGAATTAAAATAGAATCTTTCAAGGGCAGAAGTCTCCTCTCTTCTTCCTTCTCCTCATCCAGGCAAACCCTGCTCTTCCTGAAGGTGACACGTAAATTTATACCAAGGTAGCTTATCTACAGGGCTTGCGGGGTGTTCATAGAGTTAATGCTGCATTTAAGGGGGCACGGAAGTACCTTTGTTGTCATGCCAACAGCGTTCCCTTCCTGGTGAGCAGCACCGCTGAGATGGATGACAAAGGTTCAAATCCCTGCTCTGCCAGTTATTAATTGGATGACTCTAGGCAGGTTAATTTCATGCAACTTCTTTGGGTCTCACTTTCATTACCTGTAAAATGGGGGTAAGAAATAAGACTGCCTTATAGGACTGTGGTGAGATTTAGTGGTTAGTATAGGTAAAGCACTTGGAACTCTACCAGGCACATAATCAGGGCTATGTGAGAGTTTGCTATTGTAGTTAATTTTACCTTTTACCTTTACCAAGTAACTACTTGGGCTGTGACCTTCCCTAATTTTTCTAAAAGCTGAGTAAAAGGCCCAGATGTTCTTCAAATACAAGTCAGAAAAGGAAATAAAAGTAGAGGTTTCACATGGAGGTGAAGGATTTTACATTCTTGGTCTGAAGGATGTAAAACCTGTCAGATGTACTTTTCCAAGTGGGAGAAACCAGAGTTGTTGGACAGGGAGCAGTGGGCTGGGGAGACCGAGAGGGGGCTGTTTGCTGGAGTCCTGGGAACCAAGGGAGGTTTGCCTGAGAGGCTGTCATCTGGAGACCAGAGCGTTCCTGCTTAATTTAAGGCATGCTGTGAAGGGCTCCAGAATATGTTAAAATGGAATTAGCTGTAATATACTTCAGTTGAGAAACCCGTGGTATTTTCAGGAAGAGAGGAAGAGAAGTTTGTAGGAAGCAAGCAGCCCCAAGGTTACAGACACGATGGAGGCTTGGGGACTGTGTTTTGTGTGATCCACAGGGAGACACAAGCCTTGCAGGGCTCAAGGATCTTACCTGAGACCTGCCCTGTCGATGGGAAGGGATGCCTAGGCCTCCTGTGGCGAATGCTGCACCTGTCTAGTTAGGAGAGGCAGCTCTTCATGGAGGGGTAACTGGTGAAGGGGAGGAATCCCCTAGAAAACTTCAGGCACATGGAACAGAGCATGCAAGCAAACTGCAATCCCCCATTGATCCCAGAGTGCTTTTTCTCCCACTGGGCTGCCCATCCCATGAGGACTTGAGAACACACAGAGGCTGGGCCTTTTTCATCTCTGGCTTTCCAGGAATGGCTCAAGAAATAGTTAGGGGCCTGTGTTATGGATGAATTACAAATTTGGGATGACCTAGGAAGTAAAACTTTGAAATGGGACTGGCGCTGATACAGGAAGGACTGGACTGGACCTTGGAAGCTCACATCACTTGTGTTCTCTCACAATCTGCCCCCTTGTTACTTGAAGCAGGGTGAATATGAGGTGTTCCCGCTGTCACCTGGCCTTGTTGATGGAATAAAAAAGGTAGGACAGGAAGGGAGGAAGGGAGGAAGGGAGGAAGGGAGGAAGGGAGGAAGGAAGGGGGTCTTTTGTGCATACATTCAGCTTAGACCAGTTCTGCATTCACCTCTGCTTGTTGAATTTGGATCCTGTGATGTGTGTGCGTGTTATGGGTGTATGTGTGTGATGGGTGTGTGTGTGTGTTTATTGTGTGTGTGTTGTTTTCCTTTCCCACCCTCTCCCCATCAATCAATTTCAATCTTATCACTTGCAAGGGTGGTTGTAAACTAAAACAAACAAACAAACAAACAAACAAACACCAAAGTGACCAAATATCACAGTTCAGATTCATGCTAATAGAGTGATTATTCAGAGATAATCTCACCCCTTTTTCTTCTGAAATGGTGTCTTTCAGAGCCTTAGCTGTTTGGTTCCATTGAAACACAGCAGGACCTTGATACACTTTTGGAGAGAATGAAGATGCACCCCTGCAGAATAGAATGTCCTTAAAATTGGTAGCCGGGGCCCTGGTTTTCATGTGTTGTAGGGTAAAGTTTCGCAAATTGCTTACTCCGTGGGGGGTAGAGACCTAAATCCTCCACAGTGCTAAGTAATTGGTGATGCTTAATTCATATTTGTGGATTGCTAGATGTGCGTTTAATTAAAAGACACACCTAGTTGCATGATTCCACAGAAACTTGTCAGGGTTCCCTGGTGTATTTTACAAATGATATTAGGCTTTGTGGGAGTTGTAGAATTATAGATGTATGTATATTTCTTTTAATTTCAAATGCAAGAGTAATATTTCTGAATCCGGTTTCACTTCCTGTCCTTAGTTTATGCTTTCATCTTTTCTCTATGCTATTTATTTATAAGTATACTCCAGGATTTGTTTAGAATTCAGATCATTTTGTTGACTCTGTAGTCAGAAAATTCATTGATTTGGCTCCCAATTTCTACATAACGAACAACATTAAAAAGATACAAAGACTCTCTTCTATTTTCTCATCTTTTATCTTAGCCTTATTAATATCTATGTAACAATATTATTTAATATGGGTCCCCTTTAACATGAGCTGTTGGCTATATAACCCATATACGTTTGTGTATTTGGGAGGTGGGTGTCTGATATTGTTGAGGGTGGGGAAAATGGTTCTGAGCCTCAGAAACGTGAAATATACCTGGGATAAAGCATGGAATTCAGTAGAATTGACTCTGCAAATCAAATGCTAGAATTCATTCACAGATATGGTTTTTGCATCTTCAAATGGCCTTGGGTTGAAAGGAAATAGAATTCAGTTAAAATTGCTTGAGTCAGGGTGTGAATGGCTATGAGGAAATATGGTGTCTTTGTCCAAGGCCAAATTCAGAAATATCACAGCTTCAAAAGCCTGTCCTGCTTCAGGAGGAGCCTGCGGGTGACTTGCTCTGTCGGCCACATGAACACCACCAGGAAGGAATTCCTTCTGTACAGATTGTGAGGGGTCGGTTCCCCCTGAGGCGTTAACCCCACTGTCTTCTAGGCAGGGGCTTGGGTGTTTAGCATATCTTGAGGAAGAGAGAATTCTGCCCGGAGACCTACAGTAAGGCGTTCTCCTGGGCGAATTGCAGTATTATTAACCAAAAAATAAGAAAGAAAAGGAGTGTTTTAGGAGCCTGCGGTGTGTGCACATGACTCGTTAGGACCACAGTGACCTCTCAGTGCCTATGACCTTCCCACTCTGCAGACAAGGAGAGCGGAGCTCAGGGTGTTGAGTGCTTTGGGGGGACAGAGTGGAGCCTCCACCTGGGCTGCAGAGCCTCAGACCTATGGAGTTTTTCTTGTGGTGTTTCTGGGATCCACAGCACCAGGCATTCCCATAATGATGCTCATTTCATCAAAATTAGTTAAGAAGTAGGAAAGAAGTAACATATGTTAGAAGCACATGTGATCTAGGTTGGTGCTTAGCTATCCAGAAAATCTGGTTGGCTGGACTAGGATAGTTTTCCAAGTGCTGAATTTTGGCTTGACATTCAGGGGTGGTCAGATAACATTTGAAGAGAGAATGTTGGGAGATAACATTTTAAAGAGAAAAGAGCCCTGGTGGGGGATTTAGAAGAGCTGGGTTTGGTAATAAAGATGATGATGGTAGCACTAACATTTGCTGAGCATTTTTGCTCAACAAATTTATTATCCAACATTTATGGAACAGTGCCAGGCACAGTTCTAAGAACTTCACAAGTATTAATTCATTTAATTCTCACAAAAATCCTCTGAAGTAGATCCTATTATATCCCTATTTTACAGGTAAGGAAATGGAGGCGCAAGAGGTTAAGTAACTTGCTCAGAGCTTTACGGCTACCAAGC